TCTACCCCAAAGTACAAAGTTGGATCCCCGGTCGATGTTGAAGATCAAAGCAGCAACTTGCAGTCCGTAGGTGCAGATATGGCTGCCACCCTCAAGCTCGCCTAACTTGAGGGGAACCCTCACGTCACTCCTCGTCTTCCTTGAAGTCCAGATTCAAGTTGTAGGTGCCCTTCACTCTCGCCTCTCTCAAGTTGCATCACGAAGTCCCACCTTGTGTCTCGCCACCACAAAGATGCACTCGAGCAACTTGGTCGGGTCTAGTGTCGACCTTACACGGCCCCGCCAAGTGGGGGCAACTTCCCTTTACCACGCTGCCCCACTTAACCCTAACTTCCGCCCTAACCCTAAGTGGTTAGCCCTTACCACTAAGGTTAGGGTTATGGCAGCAAAGTCAACTCTCACCAGCAAGTAGAATCCGCTCTGATACCAATGCTACGATCCTGGCCAATTTCGAAGTATACAAACATCAGGAAGTACAATGCCGTCCAATTGCAAAAAGAAATGAATGAACTTGAGAGGAGAGAGAGGGAAAGAAGAAGAAGAAGAAGAAGTAAGAAAGAGGAAGAAGATGATGTACTCTAGCATAGACCAATGAGAAGGCTCTTCTTCCTCGCCTACCAATCTCCTCCTCCTTATCTCCTCCCCTCTTATTCAAACAAGAAACAACAATAATAATGTTGAATGGCTGAACCAGAATCAATGTCCGAATCCCACTTCTACTACAGGCACAACATGAGGTCCACAATAGTCATGGCCACACTTCCTCTTCCTCTGCATATAGGCCGAGGCTATGGCGGAGTACTGAGGGCTCTCCCTCCTGTCCAAAGGACAACCAAAGCAGCTATGTTGCTGCCCTTCTGTCCCCAGGTCAACTCCCTGCAGCTATGCCGCTGCCTACTCAACCGCCATGCCTGACTCTGTCCCGAGCTTCCTTGATGCGGCACTACCCCCACTGGGGCCTTCCAGATGCAGCGCCTAACAAGGTGATGAAGATGGTGTCTACCATAGCCAGGTAAGTACCCGCCACTCTCCTCCTTGGTCCCCTTCTCCCTCCTCCTACCGGTAGAGCTCCACCATAGCCAAGGTGGAAGCTCCCGACTTCTTCCTCCTTGCAGCGTTGTAGTACCCAGCGCCACTCTAGCCAGCGCTCCAGCAGCGTGTCGCCAAACTTGCACACTGAAGAATGAGGCCGAGCTCTTGCCTCGGCCTCTTGATATAGCGGCCTGCTTGCCTCCTGGGCRGTGACTTCCAGGCCGCTCGGCCTCCCAAGCAACCGGTACCTCCTCCCTTTCCGAGGGAAACATCATTGCAGACTCTGACATTGCCCGTACAGGGTCCAGACTCAGATTGGATGGACTGGTACCGGCCTAGACCTAGCCTACCGCTACTGGCCTCTAAAAATGCCAACTTTGTCTTCTTCTGCTCGGCCTCGAGTACCCAGCACATCTACTGCTATTGGGTGCGGTACCGGCCTACCTGCAACTTGAGTGTTTTTCCGCTGCTCTAAATACCGCGGGCCCCTGGCTCCGCTACTTGAGTGTTTTCCCTGTTGCAACCCTCAATGCCACGACCACAGGTAAGTACCGGCCCTACGGGCCTGCCAAACAAGCAAGTACCCTTGTGGGTCACACACACACTCATGCCGACAAGCACTCAGACAGGCACGCAAGTCCACAGGTACGCACACATACAGACTTAGAAAACACAGTAGAAAGCGGGAATCTTGGCAAGGCATCCATTCCATCGGCAGAACTTCAAAAATCAGCACTGTTCTCAGTCTGTGTTATGGCGGGTTATTACAATAGTAACAATGGAGGGGAGGGGGAGAGAATATAAAATAAAGAGTCAAAATTTCGAGATAAAAATAAAAGAAAGTAAATAATAAAAATAAAGAAAGAAAGAAAGAAGCAAACGGTGAGAAGAGAAAGAATATTTATTTTTTTGGAATTTTTGGCAGCATTTTCCTACCCCGATGGGGTCACAAAGGTTTAAAGAGGAAGGAGAGACTAAGAGAAGCACACTAAGTTTTACAATGCCGCAAATTATAATTTTCAGAAAAATAAATAAATAAGTAAATGAGGAGGTGAAGAGAAACTAAGTGTT